CCTGTCCGCCATTCCTTGGAGCCAACCAACTACGAACTGAAACCTTTACAAATTGTGAGCCAAAATAAACCTTTCCTCCCTTCATTTGCCAGAGTTGAGCAGTATTTTGTTCCCGGGGACAAGAAATGACTAAGACAGCTATCCAGATAGGAGCACAGGGATGGGTGGGGACAGGAGCTTAGCAGTGACAGCCCACATACCTCAGCTCTGGCCTTGGCCACCAACAGCTTCTGCCCAGACTTCTCTTATCCAAGGGCATCACATGATAATGTTTCTCCCACCCCCAAACCTACATTCTTAATATTTTCTTTCCTTTCTCCTTTTTAGTGGGGAGCAAGAGAGAGTGATAAGAAGATCAATACATGTGAAAAAGGTAAAGTTTATCACATTCAACATTTTCAAGAGTTTATTTGAGCAGTGATTCACGAATCAGGCAGCTCCATACTGGATGTGGTTTTAGGCGTCTCCCAAAGGGGCACAAGAGAAAGCATTCATAGGGTGAACATGAAGCAGAGCAAACAAGCAAACAAGTATTTGATTGATTCCTTAAAGTTTGAGCAAATTAGGCTATTTGAATTATCCCAGTGGGAAGTTCAAGACCATATAGCTAATGCCAGTTAACCATCCATGATTGGCTGAGCTTAAGTTTGTGTCAGGTTTTGGTTCACTTAGGCAGCAGGAACAAGATTTCCTTGCTGTTTCAGAGAGAACAATGGTATCTAAACCAGGATCAGAGCGAGGAACAGATGCAGATCCCTAATCAAAGGTTCCCCGTTGGCCACTTGGGACTCTCAACTCCAGGGGACGACAGATGAGGCCGTCCCACCTCCTACAGCTAAGCTCAAGGCTCCGCAGTGGTCCTGAGGGGTCATGTGGTAACACCTAGCTCCCTTCGCCCTCAGCCTGGTGCTTGGGAAATACTCTTTCTGCTTTGGCTCCTGATGCATGCCACAGTAGTGAGGAGCAAGGACTAGGCCACCCACGAGGACCAGGGGGCTGGCCTTGGAGGTTGGTACAGAAAGTGCATGAGTTTATACATTATCGTGGGCTCATTACATCAGCTGACTCGGGTTCCCTGCTCATTGACCCTTCTGCCCTTCTGCCTGCCTTGTCCTGCTCTCTTCTGAGCTTCTGGCTGCAGATGCCTTCACACGTCACCTCTGCTGTGTCTGCCTGCTCTGTAACTTTGCTATCTTGAGATCACTGAGTCACACACAGCACACTTCTGAAAGCAGGGCACTGGGCTTGGAATTCTAACCCCATCATTTTGAGACCTCAGCTCAATTCTTGGAAATTGGTATTTCTTTATCTATCGGGTGGAGACAAATCACTCCTATCTCTGCAGGCTGTGGTGAGCTGATGGTAAATGCCTGTCTGAGCACTCATCTGCCATCCAATTAGAGTGTGAGAGGGAGCTCTGCACCTCCCTATTGTCCGCTTGCCAAGTTTTGGAGAAGAAACAGCACACCCAGCTTTGCACGTGGCCCACCGGGGGCTCTCAATACACTGGTCAGCTATGGTGCACACTGGTAGGTTTCCTCATCACCCCACTTGTGATTGGATAAGAAAATTGGTTTCATTCAAGGGACAGTTTTAGTAACTCACACCCTAAATCCAAAAGCCCCATCAAACAATCAGCTTCACCAAAAAATGGATATTGCCTCTTCATCTTCTATGCCTTACTTTTAAAAATCGATATCAAAGTCTGTAAGGAAGAAAAAGAGGTCATTTGTTGACTTCCTAAGACTCCAACAGACTGAAGATTGCACAGCTACATCCTCAGCACCAACATCCACGTCCTGGAATCCTTTGTATCCTGTGTAATTAATGTGGGCCAAATGAGAAGGCATAATTTACCTCACCTCGGTGTAATTTATGCTATGCTCACAGGCCATATGTTAACTAGTGCCTGAGGAGGTGATCTATTCTGCTAATGTGACACCTTAATGACATTATGCTAAGCCTAATGATTAAATAATAGGCCCTGGAGGACCTGTGGATTGCTCTTCTATTCAGGCAGAAGAGGAAGCTTATCCTGAGGGAATTAAACCAAGGGCCATGAGACAGACAAGATGTAGGAAGTGAGCTACATGAAGTGCATCAGAGTTGAGGCAATTTCCATTCTTTGAAGAATTTAATTCTGTATTGGTCATCTCGTGCTGTGTAACAAATAATCCCAAAATCCAGAACCCTAGCAGTAATCACCATTTTATTGTTTCCCCTCGTCAGTAGTTTACAATGAGTTTTGTTGGGCTGTTCTGTCTACCTGGCTTCATTCATGGGTTTGGTGATGGTGCTGGCTCTCTGCCAGGCCTTTCTTCCCTTGTGGCCTCTTATCGCCAAGATCCTAGAAGACAGGGAACAAGGCTTTCTATACACACAGGCAGCAATTTTCACATTGGCCAACAAGCACGAAGAAGAAATACGTGTCTCGGTCACTTTCCTGTCTCTGGGACCAAATGTGTGACATTCACTAGTGAAAGGAAGGGAAGTTTATTTTGGCTCAGTTTGTAGAGGATTCCGATGTACTTTTTCTCTGATGCTCAAAACAAAACACAGAATTAAGAAAACGGGTTCAAAATCAAGAAAACAGGGAATTTATCCTAGAGGAGTGCACAGCTCAGAATGATTGGCTTTCAATAAGCTGGCAGAACCAACAGTGAATAATGGGACAACAGGATAAAAGAGAAAAAGAGAGAAAGGAAAGAAAAAGGTGAAGAAATGAAGGGAGGGAGGAAGCAAGGAAGGAAGAAGAGAGGAAAGAAGACGTCTTAGTTACTTTTCTTGCTGCTGAGACAAAATACCTGATACCCAAAGTCAAGGAGGAGAGGTTTATTCAGCTCAAAGTCTAGAGGTTTCAGTCCCTAATGAGCTGGCTCCAAGGCAGGATGATGGCAGACAGGCATCACAGAAAAACAGTTCATGGTGGGCAGAAGATAGCAAAGCAACAAGGGGCAAGCAAGTTCTTTCTGCCCTTTATCTTCTCCAGGTGATTTAGGAGAGGTAGCACTCACACCCTTAATCCCTGTGCCCTTGACCCTGGTACTGCACTGTGAATCAATCCCAGCATCATACTCGAGATCCAGCTACCTCAAAAAAGCCCCACCTATGACTGCATGAGGCTTTGGAGGGGCATCTAGATTACAGCCCTGACAGGAGAGAGAAGGAAAGAGGAAAGGAAGAAAAGGAAAGCAAGCACAAAAGAAAAAAAAAAGAGAAAGGAAGAAAAAGAAAAGGTTCTATTCATGAGCATTTGGAGAAAAATGTGTATATGGCAGCAGCACTGATAAAGACAGAGGAAGAAAGCACTGTTGGTGCCCTTTCAGTCTCGAGTCTCACTCATATTTACACAGTGGTGATAGAGCAAAGCTGGACATCCTTACAGCAAAGCATTCCGAGTTAATTTTCAACTTTGACAAAATGCAAGTGAACACTCGGAAAACTGCTGCTGCGGGGCCTGTGTGCCAGGGGTCCTCAAAACAGGCAGCGCTCTCCACATCTGTCTGACCCAAGTCCCGAGGCACTCTCGCTGCTCATCTGACCCTGAGCCATGGGCCAGTTCTGGTGAGATCCCTGTTCCCGGCAGCCCCAGACTTCACCTTTCACTCTGCAAACAAAGCAGGAAGTGTCTGTATTGGAAACCTGGGGTGGGGGCACTTAAATATTCACTCTACACCCAGGGCTCTGCGTTCACACTTTGCCTGCTATGTCTGCAGTCAGCCAACCCCAGATCAAAAAGTTTTAAAATTGCATCTATGTACCAATTTTTCATCTCAGGATGTGTGCAAGCCTTATGAAAATAACTTTTGCTTTATGTGAGATTTGAAAATCCTAGACTTGTTATGTTTTTAAAGTTTTTGTTTTGTGTTTTTTGTAGTACTGAGGACTGCACTCAGTGCCTTCACACTGAACTACATCCTTAGCCCTTTGAGACAGGATCTAAGTTGCTAAGTTGCCCAGGCTGGGCTCCCACTTGTGACCCTCCTGCCTCAGCCTTCCAGAGTGTGACAATTACAGGTGTTATCTGCTGCTGGGACCAGGGCATGATTGATTGTAGTAGAAATAATCTCCCCTCCTCAGAATACTCAGGGCTGACCATACTTCCATTTTAACAATCATAGCAAGAGTCAAGTCACTGTCCCTTATTCCAGATGAGAATTGACACGGAAAATAAATGATAGCCAGGAGTGGAACCCAGGTCCCAAGTGACCAAAGTGCAAATTTAGCCTCCATCTACTGTGCCAACTTCACCCCGGGCACATACTTCGGCTGCCCTGAGGTGCTGCTAGGTCATTGCCTGTGCATAGTTCCTCATCAAAGATCAGTTCTTTCTTAACACTTTGTTTTCTTGACCGGCACAGGTGGGCAGAGCACCAATGGGGACACCAGCAGCGTCCCATTTAAACCACACCTACCTTAAACAACACACGCAGCAAACGCCAGTGGCATCCTGAGAAACACATCTGACCGGGGAGCCTGCCATACGGATTTCTCCCCTCCAGACAACCAGGTGGGTCACCAGGAAGGGTGCAGAGGCACAGGGGCCCTTGCTGCCTCCCCTCTCAGCTCTTCCCGACTCATCCGGGAAGGTGGTGTCAGGAGAGCGCACAAGGAAACGAAATCCACACAGTGCAGCTGGTTACACAATTCTTTCTGCTCTGGTAGGAAGCATGAGTTATGTAAACTCGATGATCCACACTGAACTAAAAAAGCTTGCATTTATGGCTGCATTTAAATGTGGCACTGCATGATATATACAATACCTCAAATTTTAATGTTTTGCTTAGCACAACCCTCAACAGCAAATCCCCACGGCCAATCAACTGACACCAGGAAAGCTGTGTTAGTTGCCTGTCATTGCACTTTCCCCCTGGTTTTTTAATAAGGGACCCCACAGATTACATGGCTGACCCTGGTAGCGGGTAGTTAAGGTTCAGTGAAGAGGTCTCATATTTGTAAGCAAAGAATTCCAAGGAAGCCTCCTTTTTCCATGAATGAAAGCAGCATACGCCTTCTGGGTTTGATTATCCCTTTATTTCCCCCTTCCCACTACCAGTAAAAAAAAAAAAAAAATACAATCATTGTAGGTACAAGGATCTTACATCTTAAAAAATTAAGAGTGCAGGGATGGCCACAGCCACTGCCCAGGTTTTACTTACATATGTACAGTAGGTGGGGTTGGGTGGCCCATATCACAAAATATACAAAGGTCCTCATTCTGTCTTTACTTTCATAGAAGAACCCTGCCTCATTTCCAAATGAGACACTAAAAACACAAAACCAGACTATTTACCACATTAACTTACGAAAAATGCTGTACAGGCGCATGACTATAAATATGGAATATAAATGGCTGCTTGGGGGGTTGGTTGTCTACAGGGGGTGCCAGGGAGGGCTCGGTTTGGTGCCCCAACCTATTCAGATGGAGAGGATGCTGGGGGGCAGGGTCGGGGAAACAGCTACACCCTTTGGTTTCCTGGATGAGGCTGAAGTTCACTTGCTGGGGAAGAGTCGAGGGTGGGCGCAGAGGTATGAACAGGGGCCCGGGAGACGCAGGGACTGATCTGGGGTGCGCAGGGGTGCACACTTCACACAGATGGCCCCCTTCTAGCCTTCCGGTATCCCTGTGCTCTCCCACCCAATTGGAAGGGGGACCTGGGCCGAGAAACGGGCGCCATTGGTCATGCGCTAAATTCTCCCGGTGTGGGTCGCACGTGTGACTGTTTCGGATGGGAAACCCTTGCTGTGAGGCAGTGCAAGGCTGCAGAAGCAGAAGGGAGGAGCCCTGGGACCTGGGGTCCCCAGCCTCGGGGTGCCCCTAGAAGGCTGTGATGGTGAAGGTGCTCTTTGTGTCCAGGGTGTCGGGATGGGCCTTGCCCTCGCCGCGGACCTCTTGGGTCATGGCTATGCTGAAGGCCTCGGGCCCCTTGATGGGGACCCCTGGCTCCTCCTCCTCCTCCAGGTCCTGGCAGCACTTGCTGCAGCGGCAGCAGTTGGTGCAGCCACACATGAGGCAGCACACGCGACAGCACACGCGACAGCAGCAGCAGCAGCGCCGCTGGCAGCAGCTGGTGAGCATGGAGATGGCGCTGTCCCAGGGCTCCAGGGAGCGCAGCCACGAGGGCAGGAAGCTCCAGCTGCGCAGCTTCTGAGGCAGGATGCGCGGGCAGCGGGACTGCAGCAGCCGCAGGCACAGCACCAGGAGCAGCAGGAGGACGATGGGCACCCCCACGCCCACCAGCACCGGCCAGCCGGCCATGGAGAGGCCGAACACCGCCAGCGGCGTCAGGAGGAACAACATGATGAGGTAGACAACGGCGAACCAGCGGTACTTCGAGGAGATGTTGCCCAGGCCCTTGGCAAGGCGGATGGGCAGGCGGGTGAACGGGATGGGGTACCACAGCAAGATGCCAGAGATGTTGAAGAAAAAGTGGCACAGGGCGATCTGAAACAGGAAGTCGCACAGGTTGGGCAGGTTGGGGGCTGGGGAGGAGGAAGTTAGGTTCCTGGTCTAGAGCCTCTGAAAGCCTGCTGTGATTGCGTGTGTGGTGTCGGGAGGGAGGAGCTGGATCACGGTCAGCTTCCAGGGCTTGAATCCAACAATGACCTTGCCCCCTGCTGCCCTGTGTGGGGGTGGGGGGCACTGCCTCCGGCTGAGTTTAGAGGATAGGCAAGGTGGGCATAGTGGCGCGTGCCTGCAATCCCCGCGTTCTGGGAAGCTAAAAGAGGATCACAAGTTGGAGCCCAGCCTGGGAAACTTAGTAACAGCAAGATCCTGTTTAAAAATTTAAGAAATGGAAAGGATGAAGGATGTAGCTTAGTGTGAAGTCCCTGGGTTCAATCCTCGGTACTGCCAAAAACAAGAAGGAAAAAAATTTGATGGGCGGAAATAAAGGCTCAGAGGAGCCCTGGCCATCTGCTTAGCGCCCCCTTTTTTGTACCAGGGATCGAACTAAGGACCTTGCACTTGCCAGGCAGGTGCAGTGCCACTGAGCTAAATCCCCAGTCCTTCAGTGATTGGGGCAGGGAGAAAGGTCCGGTAGTTATAGCAGCATTGATGGGTGCTGTTTGCCACGTATGGGGCGACCTTTCTAAACACGTGGTTTATCTCAACCCTCAAAACAGTGCCCCCAGATTGCTCTGCTACTTTGCCAAAGTCACACAAATGGGAGGCATGGGGATGGATGGGAATCAACCCAGACACTTATCCACTTTCACAGGGGGCACCAGGCTCCACGCGAGGAGCTTGGGGTCAGCACCACCTGGGACAGTAGCTACTGTGGCCACCAGTGCATGCGGGGCTGGGGTGATGAACCCCCAAGTGTAGAAACCAGGAACCGGGCTTCAACACTCAGTCCATAGAAATAATATTTTTGTATTCACCAGTAAAAGAGTAAGGGATTGACTCAAAACTCATTGAAATGAACTTCCTGGATTCTTTTTCATATTAAAAAACGTACTGCTAAAACTTTTCAAACTATATGTGCGGCTAATTATGTAATCTGTATTTCTGGCTTTCATAATCCTAAGAAGATAGGAATCATATTCTCTATATGTCAGATAAGGAAACTGATCCTAAGGGGCTTAGGTCACCCAATGAAGGTGGAGGAGTGTGTAAACATTGTGACAAGACTTCAAATCCCCACAGTCTTGCCTGGGTACCAGTGTGGCTGACCCAGGCCAGGCAGGCCCCCTGCTTCACCTTGTAATTCCAGGCGCCTGCAGTTTCCCAAGAAGAGATGGAAGACGGTGTCCAGGCTTCCTTCCCACTCTATCAGGAGGCCCCCACCTCTAAGTGACCGCCTGGGACAGGAGCCTTGCTGCTGCTGTTCTAAGGGCCAGATAGCTCTGGCTCTTCTCACACCGAGATACTCAATTCCATTTCCTGTGGCTTCCCCTGTACATCTCAGTCCCATCTTTGGGGCTTATTAAACGGAAAGCCTAGCTCTTGATAGAAACCAGCTTGCAAGGCCACGGAAGGGGCTGCATGCAACCCTCCAGCCCCCGCCCCAGCAACGGGTCCTGACCTGCAGCGAGCTCATCAAGGTGTTGCCTGGGCTGGCCAAGGCGGCCATGATGGCGGTGGTGGTGGTGCCGATGTTGGAGCCCAGCGTGAGCGGATACGCCCTCTCGATGGTTATCACGCCGATACCTGGGGGGAAGCCAGGGAGCACAGGGCATTGGCCCAGGGATGACAGGAAACGGCAGTGGTAGCCCAGGAGGCCAGGGAGAAAGAAGCTCACCGATCAGCGGGGTCAAGGCAGACGTGAATACGGAGCTGCTCTGCACGATGAAGGTCATGCCGGCTCCCACAAGGATGGCCAGGTAGCCGGTCACCCAGGAAAAGGGGAAGGGGAAGTCTGCAAGACAGAGGGAGCAGGGTGTTTATCATGGCAGGCAGGAGCTGGGACCAGTTCGCACCTCCTTAGGTTCCCAGTGGGCGGGGTGGGACTGGAAGATGGAAGCTGTACCTGTATGCAGACTTCAGATTTTCATTCTAAGTCTTTCAACCTGCATGTTCCAGCAGGTGAAACCAAGGATGTGGGGTCGGGTTAGGAATGCTTGAATCCCCCTCCACCCACAACGCACAGAAGGCACTTAAGACTCCCACACTTCCTTTTTCTATCCTGGTTCCCCATTCACACCTCGTACCTCTGTCTCCGCCTAACAAAGCATTGAGAAAATGCAGCAGCTTGGAACAACACCACAGACCCCACCCTCACCCCACCTGTACCACTGGACCAGGCCCGGTGTGCCTGGCCAGCACCCATAGGTACTCAGTTCAGTCTTGGGACAGCCTGAGGGTACAGGTGTTCTTGGCTGCATTTCTGCAAATGACAGGTGTGATATCATTGCTCAGTAAGCTCTCATTGGTCAGGAGCCTCACTGGCTGCCTTGGGAGGCTGGTGTATTTATCCAGAACCACATTTATTTCTGAGACAAAAGGTAACTGAGGCTAAAGGTGGATATGCATCACCCTTTGCCCATTGCCTGAGGGCTCCTGATAGACTCAGGAAAGCCCTGGAAATGTGGAAAACCTGCCAGGTCCTACTCGTGCCTTCCTGCATGTGAACTGGCCCTTTCTCTTGCCAACCTGCAAAGGAAGCTTTTGTCCACTTCTTAGAGGCACGCACGACACAAGAGAATTCCTAGGACAGTGGCATCTTAACTTCTGTAGCTTAGCACATCCGAGAAATTCCAGGAGGCTCCCATTGCAAGATGGAAATCGCAGGGTCCCTCGGGGTGGCCATAGGGTGCCAGTCCCCGAAGCAGGCCAAAGTGGGGGGAAATCACGTACCAGTGTTGATGGTCTTCTTGATGACGGTAGCCACCTGGCCCTTAAGCACGGAGCCCAGGAGCTTGACGATCATGATCAGGCAGCCACAGAGGACCAGCAGGGAGATGACCAGCAGGATGATGCCCACGGCAAGGTCCGGAAGCTGGGCATTCACGAAGATGTGCTTGCCTGAAGAGACACGGACAGCACGCTCAGGACAGGGAGCCATCAGAACCGCAGAGTCCCCCGCCAAAGGGTGTATGAGGGATAATTAGATAAACCAAGTAAGGATATGCGAGCTGCAAAAGATTCCAGGGGCAACATGACAGCTTCTTAAAAGAATCAAGAGTATTTGGGTACAGCGCCTCACACCTATGAGTCTATTTGGGAGGCGAGGCAGATCGCCAAGGTCTGCTAGGCAATTTAGTGAGACCCTGTCTCAAAGTAAAATAAAACAGGGCTGGGGATGTAGCTCATTGGTCGAGTTCTTGCCTAGCATATGTGGGGCTCTGAGTTCAGTCCCTAGCACTGCAAAAAAGAGACACAGAAGAGATGAAGAATCAGAGCTCCTTCTTCATCAGTGTCACCTCCTGTGCCCTGCATGGGACCCGCAGCATAGAAGGGACCCATGGAAAAATAAAATAGTTTGTGGACCTCATGCCATCCTCCCAACTGGCTGTCATCTCCCCAGAGTCAGTGACATGGAGGGAGCTCCTGGAATCGGATGGGCTCTTCTGTGGTGGGGGTCTGGGTTCAGATTCCACTCCTGTCCTTCACGTGGGCCCCTGCACCGGTCACCTCACCTTCCTCCACCATAGCAATAGCAGCACATTGCTGCGTGCCTGGGTGGGGCGGGTGCTCGGTTCCTCTCAGGGCCTCTTCTTTCTCTTACTGGGTTCCACGCAGCTAAGAAGCCCCTGGTCCCCAGCAGCCCATCCCAGTGGCCTGCATGGTGCGTCCCACTCACATTTAGCAATGTTCTCCTGCTGGGTCACATTCTTCAAGGTCCAGGTGAAGGCACCGTCCGTCCAACAGAGTGAAGAGGAGGTGCAGTTCTCAGGCGAGGGGACGGTGACATTCTGCTCGGTCTAAATGGCAAACACAGGGAAGTGTCCACAACACCAACTGGTGGTGGGGAAAGCAGGCAGCAGACAGGGGACAGAGGAGACACTGATGTATGCGGTAGGCTGTGTCCCTAACCTCCCTTTCTGACTCATTCATCTTTGTGGATGGATAACGCTCTTGGAACAACTGAGACAAATGAAATCAGCTGCCGCCATTTAGAAACATCTAGTCTTCGTACTTTATTGTCAAGCATTTAGCACCCCCCCAAAAAAAACAAAGGACATAAGCACACCCTGGAGGTATGGGTGAGCCATACCCTCCTACCAAGGCAGGCTGGGTCAGTTTCCCATGTGGAAGGGCAGAAAACTGACTTTCTGAGAGGGAACATTCTAGAAGAGTCTGGAAAGTACCAGATGCCACCTACTGCCAGCACCTGTACGGTGTGATGCACCAATCCCAGGGAGCCTTGAAAATGGGCAAACGAGCAGCCAGGGATCTATCTGCCTTCTCTGGGAGACACAGAAGTAGCAAGAAACCAGGAATAACGTAGCTGCAGCATGGCTTGGTCCTACTGCCTAAGCCCAGCCTGTGCTCAAGGACTTGTTTCCAAAAGGAATCTCACTGGCCAGTCTTGACTTTCCAGGAGCCTCCACTTTCTTCCTCCTGACTTTCTCTTTTCCACCAGGAGTCAAAGACTTAGGATTTCGGTTTCAAGATTCACCCACCAAGCAGTATTTTGGGACACTTACCATGTAGGTGACAGACTTGCACCAAATCTTGATCAGGCTCTTGTTTTGGGCTGCTGGGTCACTCAGTGCAATCTGGTTGATAACTTTTTTGTCCAGCTGAGGAAGGCAATGAAGACAGCACAGAAATGTCAGTAGATCGAAGGGCCTCTGGGAAGACGAACTTGACTGTGGGCCACTGCATCGTCTGGGACACCTCAGGGAGCAGCTCCAGAGGGTGCTGACATGAGTCGGTGCTCAACACCGGGACGGATGGATGTACCAACAAAGGCTTTTTTGGTCTCCCGGAAGCAGGCTATAGCTACTCACGGCTTCCCAGAAGACAGGAAACCAGAAGGTAAGAGCAAAAGGTCAAGGTCCCAGGTAGCTTTCTCCCCACAGCAACATCCACAAAGCTATCTTCCATTTTAATATAGTCAGGCAAGAGAGGCAGGGTGGGCCCTGGGGAAAGGCGCAGCCCTTCTCTGGCTAGCAGCAGAGGAATACTTACTTCATCAGTGAGCCCACCCTGGGGACAGTAAAAGAAACACTGGAGGTGAATTACACTGTCAAGTGTCTGTGGGCTGGGGCTGCGGCTCAGTGGTAGAGCACTTGCCTAGCAAGTGGGAGGCCCTGGCTTGGTTCCCCAGGAGCGCACAGGAAGTGTCCTTGAAGGCTGCCTTCACTCCTGCTCCAGAGGCAGCCCCTAGTGTTCAGCTCACCAGGGTGGGGCTGGGGGGAGGCTGGGGAATGGTCACCTGGACAATGAGCTTCGTCAAGGGGTCCGTGATGACTTTCAGCAGGGCCGGCGCATCTTCTCCATTCTGGAAGTTCAAGGTATTCACCATGAGCCCCGTCAACTTCTCTAGGTAGTGGGTGATGGCCTCCAGGGGCAGCAGCACCAAGACCGATAGCCAGTTGAAGAAGTCGTGGACAGTGGCCCCTGCGAAAGCTCTGCGGGAGAGGAGCCCACAGCCAGATCAGTTGGGGAGTGAGTGGTGTTAGTCTGCTGCTACCCATCTGTGTACATGTGGGTGTAGGCTCCCCTGTCCTCAGCAACCCTACAAATGCAGTGTTCAAGTTCCCCTTGGACAGCTGAGCCAGGCAAGGGCCAACAGGCAAGGTCAGGCTGGAGTATTCGACAGCCTTGTTCACAAGATCTGCATCGAGATAGATGAATTCTGAATTTCATACACCTTTCTCTTGGAAAGGTGGAGATCAGTCAGCAGGTAACCAAAGCAATAAATTCATAACCTTTAAAAAATATTCTGAGAGCCGGGCGTGGTGGTGCATGCCTATAATCCCAGCACTCAGGTGGCTGAGGCAGGAGGATCTCTGTGAGTTTGAGAACAGCCAGTTCCAGGTGAGTCTCAACTACATAGTGAGACTCTGTCTCAAAACACCACAAAAACAAAAAAATTCTGAGAGTCGGTGAAGCACATCAAGTTTCTATAGGAAACAAGGCTGCTATCTACTACTCTTTGCACCTATCCACAAGTTCAATGACTCCCTGAAGTCCACCCATCTGCAGGTCGGAAGGCACCCCAAATCAAGTGGAATGAGAGAAGAGCCAATTATGTGGGAAAGAAAACTTAGCTTCATGAGTAAAATTTATTTACTGCAAGTGCAGTTTTTCACCTATTAGCTATTTCACCTATTTTCAGCACATTGGCTGATATTTTAAAAGTATTCTAACTCTTCCCGGAGAGGACACTTTCATATACTGCTGATATGTGCAGGGATACAAATATTCTGCTGTAGTTTGAGAAAATGTTTTAAAAACCTTATAAAAGTCTGAGAGTATAACTATTATCCTAGGAACCTAAGGAAATAATCTAAGCCACTAAGCTGTATACCCAGAGGAACTGTTGAATGTTATTGAAAGAATACTGAAATATTCCAAGACAGGATAGGCAACTGCATTCCTATAAGCAGGTACCTCCACAGACCTTAAATCTATGTCTAACAGGTTGCCCGGAGGCAAACTTGAGCGTACCAAGTGTCAAACACAAAAACCTGGCGAGCATCCCAGCTACATCCGCAGCAGAAGTCACCTGGCCTCCTTGAGTTTCACCATGAATACAGTGAGGCATGGAAAAGCCTGCTTGGCTTCGTTGAGATCAAATTAGAAAACGCCCCATTTAATGTGTATTATTATGGCCATCAGGGAATTTCATCAGGGGCCAGGGCGGTGGCTCAGTACACACGGGTTGCCGTGACCTCCGCCTACTGCCGACTCACCAGCAGGCCGGGCTGACGTCTCCCCACCAGCCTGGTGGAATGTCAGCTGCCTGACGGCACCACGATGGCATCATGACAGGCTGGGGGCTGCTTCTACATTTTTTATAAACTCTGGTAAAAATCCATCACCAACCAGCTAAGAGTGAAGCCTGAAGTGCATTTATTTAATTTTCACTTTTTGGAAGAAAAGGGTTCTCCTTGCCTATATTCATCCAGCTCTATCTTCAGATCTCAAAAAAGCTACATGTGCCTTTTATTGATGTGCAAGTAAAGAAAACAAAAGTGGAACAGGTTAAGCTGACCCAAATATATATATTATACATACACACAGAAGTTTAAGTTGTAATTATGTATGACTAGGCAAGATGGTAAATCCTACCCTTCCTGGCTTTGCTCCAACCCTGCCACCCAGCAGCTGAGTTTCCAGCTAGAGCTCATGGCTAGTGAGCCCTGTCTGGGTGCCAGGCATCTGCCAGACACTCGTCTGTGTGACTGCGTCTAATCCCTAAGATAACACGGTGGTGGGAGACGATGTTATTATCCCTGGGGTGCGGAACAGGGAGCGGGAGTTCCAAGGACTGGGAAGCACTGAGTCCCGCCCTGAGCTGCTCTCCCCTGTGGCCACTTCCAGGAGCTCCAGGAGGGAGCCTGGCCATGATCCACACGACAGGGCCCTGGTGGCCAGGGCTGGCCCTCAGCCCCCTACCTTCTGAACTCGTTCCGGTCTCCCGCCTGCATGAGCGCCACGATGGTGTTGGTGATTGAAGTCCCGATGTTGGCCCCCATGATGATAGGGACGGCCGCCCGCACGGTCAGCACTGCAGGGGAAGGAAGTGCCATCAGAGCTTAGCCAGGCAGGTTCCGACACGGCCCGGTAGGCCGAGCTCAGTCCTGCTGATGATGCCCTAACACTCCAGTTCCTAACTCCTTAGGGGTCATGTGCTTCACACAGCTGAGGCCAGCCAGGGAAGGTCGCCTTGAAGCTGTATGTGCCACCCCCAAATCCGGCACACAATCTTCGCGGACCCATAGACCCCTTGAAGCCCTCCTCTGGACCCTTTCTGAAAAATTAAAACCTAAAAATAAATGGCCTTCAGCAGTCCCCTCTTCTACTACAGAGACAAGGAACTGACCACAAGGACACGGGTGAATGCGTCTGAAGGGCCACAGGTCACAGGTACCTTGATGTCTGTTGGACAGGGCAGCACTTAGTTTCTGTATTTAAGGGGCCATCATCCACTTGCCAGACATCCAACACTGGGCTATTTATGACAAATTCCTGGCAGGATCATTTCTTTTTCTAACAAAATCAGTAGGTTGCCACAATTTTCTGACATATGAAAAAGAAACATGCTTTAGTCGAGCATGGTGGCTCAGGGCTGTAATCCAGCACTTTGAGAGGCTGAGGCAGGAGGAACAGATGAAGTCCAGCCCAGGCAACTCAGCAAGGCCCTCCCTCAAAGTAGAAAAATATTTTTAAGCCAGTGGTGGTGGTGCATGCCTATAAATCCCAGCACTCGGGAGGCTGAGGCAGGAGGATGCTGTGAGTTCGAGACCAGCCTGGGCTACATAGTGAGTTCCAGGTCAGTCTCAACTACACAGTGAGACCCTGTCTCAAAAAAAAAAAAAAAAAAAAAAATTTTTTTTAAAAGGCCTGCAGATGTAGGTAGCTCTTGGATTCAATCTCCAATTCCAGAGTGAGAAAGAAAGTAAATGTTTTGAAGAACTAATCTTTCTAACCTGCCCCAGAAATTTTTTCAGTTTATTGACTAAAATGGTGGCTTTGGCTAAAGATGAAATCTATTCAACCTAACCTTTTCTCCCACCCCCAGAAGGTCTATCCCTAATTAAATCAGAACAAGCAACAGGCAGGTACAAGTTCCGAATGACATCTCCCCCATCCAGCTGTCTGAAACCATGTGGGATGTGATCAGGCATCTTTGTAATTGGCTCTCACAGTGGCCCTGTCCAAGGGAACTTTCTACACTGATGGCACTGTCCCGTGGCTGCTGGGAAGTAAAGTGTCAGCCACGTGTGGCTATTCGGCCCTTGAGATGTAGCAGGTGCAACCAAAGAATTGACTTTTTACATTTCAAACTTATTAATAAGGTTAAAATGAGATTTGATAGCCACAGGGTTGGTGGCTGTCGGACTGGACGCTATAGCTCTGGGATACTCAGGGCAGAGTCGTAGAGCGAGGACCATTTTCAGGCTCAGCCATCCACACAGAAACAGGAGGTCACTGGGATGGCGGGCGGAACATACTGTGGTAGCTGGACAGGATGGGAATGTTGGGATAAAGGCCAAGGCCCCCAGACGAACAGGCTGCCCAGACTCACGGGAGGAGGCCACCATGCTCACGACGATGGACGAGGAGGTGCTGGAGCTCTGCACCATGACGGTCACCAGCACGCCGATCATCAGCCCCGCCAAGGGGTTGGACAGGATGGAGTTGTTGCTGAAAAACTGCCCGGCCATCTTTCCTGAAAGTCAAGCCAACATCTACCTGTCAAGGGGCAGCTGGATGACGCACAGTCTCTCCAGGCTGGCGGAGCAGCAGGTGCCCGGCTCCAGCTTTGCTGGAGGAATCAGTTTCTCCCTGCACTGCCCCGATAAGTGGGGGCCCTGCTGGCTTCCTCCTGTGCCTCTCTCTGCTCTGCCTGACCTGGCTCCCAAAACGTCCATCCACCCTTGCTCCTCTGTCCCTTCAGCTGCTCCCCACAGAAAGAATGAGAGCTCAACTCCACACCAGGCCCAGTGGGTCTCCTGATGCCCAACTCTGCCTCAGAGATGTGCTCAAGTTCCCTCCAGCCTTAGCCCTAGGCTGCCACTGATGGTGGAGGTGTCATTTTTGTGGGGGGTGGGCGGGCAAGGTGAGCCCCTCGCTGCTCCCACGGATCCAGGAAAAAAAGCAACAGCAGGAAATCAGTTCTCCCCCACTGCTCTCCCAGGAGCGCCCCCTGCTGAGTCCTCCAGACCATGATACCCTGAACTCCCTCGGGGCTGAGTCTTGGGGCTGCCTCAGGATCTGGGCTCAACCCTCTGTGGATGGGAGGGGGTGTTTGACTGGGGCCCCTGGAGGCAGGAAGTGTGCACCTAGAGAGTCCAGAGGAGCATATGTGGTGACCTTGCTCCTGGGGGGTCCTTCATGCTGTGGCCTCACTCAGCCCTGGAAGGTGTGTGTGTGCTGGGTGCCGATTAGGCCTAGCTTTGCTCTTTCCTACTCACTTTGGTTTAAGGGAGCTTTCTTTCTCCATCAATAATCTCGGAGCAGAGAGGTCAAGAGACAACAGTGGTGCCCTCCGATAAGACTGGAGGTCAGACAGCTTCCTGCCTAGGGCTTGTGAACAAAGGCGGGAGGCTGATAGCTGGGGTTGGCTCCAGCCCTGGCCTCTGACCTAGGGTCACCGAGCCGAGCCACAGCCCCACTTCAGGCCCTGGTTTTCTCCTCTGCGCCAGGGGGGTGGGGAGGGGTGTGGGCAGCACCAGTGATCGGAGGTAGACTTCTGTCCTGACTCATGCAGAGGGCTGCAGCTCAAAAGGAGTTGAGTTGCTGCGACCTTCTGGATCAAACTGGACCACAGCACCCGCTCTCCGGCCCCAGAGTCAGTCTCCCTACCTCCAACCAGCTGGAAGGCACTGCTGAGGACATCCAGGGAGCACACGAAAAAGTAGAGGAATCCCAGGAGCAAGATGAGCTTCCCAATCCCTTTGAAGATGCAGAAAATCTTCCCTTTGGTATCTCTCTCTGTGGGGAGGCGGGGAGGGCACGAGCTTGTCACTGTGTGTGACTGACCTTTCGGAGAATTCCCGCAGTGCTCCCAGCAGCTCCCACTTGGCCTCCTGGCCAGGCCGCCCTAGCTCTTAGGTCCCGCAAGGCCTGGAGTTGGAACACGTCCATGGCTGCCACTGTGGGCCACTCCATGGAACCCCGTCAAAGAAAGGGGTGTGCGTTTGGGAGGAGGGGCTCAGTGTGGTCTCAGGTGCAGACGAGCAGACCAGGCGCCGTGCTCGGCTAGAGCGCAGCGCAGTCTGCTAAGTGCAAAGTCAGAGATAATGGCCCTGATATTCCCTAGATGGGGCCGCTCAGTAGCAACCATAGCCTTAATGTGCAGAAGGCTTGGGCCCCTACATCCAGCAAGGCTACGGCTGTGGCTACAGCTTTCTCTACTCACTCCCTCCCTTCCGCTCACCCTCCCTGCCCATCTACCTGTGTGACCACCTGGCTGACCTGACACCCTACATTTGGAAAGCAAATGTCCACCTGCCCGCAGCCCAGCTGTGCTTTCTGTCTTCTGGAGACCGGGCCTCATGCACACTGACTGAATACAAGATCTCGCAATCGCCAGGATGCTGACACTAACTCTCCTGCCGCGGTGGCATCCCTAGCCAGGATCCTGCTTCTCGGGGTGTCGAAACAACGAAAAGGGAGAGCGACCCAAGAGGGAGACAGTGAACATCAGGCAGGTCCCCTCCGGAGGTCCAGGGGCCTGGCGTTTACCTGACCACTTGATGCCAGTGTCCTGGAGCTCGGGCAGGTCCCAGGGGTCTTCCACCTGGGGGGGATCCTCTATCAGTGCCACGGTGGAGTAGGAGGGCAGTAGCTCGATCTTGGCCAAGGAAGTGCCGCCGGCATCTGCTAAGCGAAGCCCCAAAGGCCGTGAGGATCCTGATGGAATCTCCTTGGGGCCTCAGGGGGCCCCCAGCCCCCGGAATGACACTTACTTTGGTGCGTGTCTTTGCCTTTGGCATCTGTGCCAGGATGCTGACTCACGCCCCCTTCAATGTATTTCTCTGGGTCAGGCTGGGCATTTTCCAACTTAGGCCAAGGAGCCATGGTCTGTGGGTGGAAAGACAGCTTAGAGAAGCGGGCACCAGGGGAAATGTTGCCAGTTATCTATGAGAGAAGCCTCCCTCAGGAGGGTGCAAGGAAAGGGTGTCATGCTGAGACTCAGACCTTCCCAGAGTAGAGGCCTGGAGGGCTCTGTCCCTTGCCCCTAACCACACCCTACAGCGTTTGTCCATGCTGGCCTTGGACCTAGGTAAGAAGCCCACCTCCTCTGTGTCTCTAACTTGACTGTCTCTTGTGTGTTGGTCCTTGTGCTGTCCAAAGGGGGTGCAAAGCCATCCCTCTGCATTGTGCTGTGGTGTGCCAGGCCCTCAGGACCCGCAGCTGACTCCTGTCTGCCCCTGCTAGGGGCGACTTTGGAGCTGCACACCTGAGGCCAGCGCTCGGCAGATGTCACTTTAGCGGATGTGTCGTGCACACACTGACACTCGCTCGAGTCAGCCACCACCCAGGTCTTCTGTGACAGTGACACGCCGGGCCTGGTTTCAAGACACACAGTGCCACTCAACAGCAGGGCCTCTGAGCAGAAAATGTCAAGAGTTTCCCATCTACAAAATGGGATGATTCTTTGTGCCCCACAGGGTAGGTAAGTAAGGGGAGATTAATGTGTGATTCAAGGTCTGGAAAGTGCCTGGCATAGAGCGGGTTTCTGATGAATAGTGTCATTATTTACCAACCTCTGCTGCCTGGATAAATAAATGAGCCATTAACAGCCTTCGCCAGGGATGTCCCCAAAGTCTCTTTCTCCCTAAAGCCGTTCTCAGAGACACAGCTCCACACACCTAACGTCCGCCTTGCACACTCTGTCCTCTGATACATCTTATCAAAACCCAAAGCACGGAAAATTCACAGAAAGGGAAGTACAAACACCTAAGAATCTTACTCCACTAAGAGTGTGCCCTAGTTAGGAGGCCGAGATATGCAGAAGTAAGTAACGAGTTTCGACAGTGCTGGGTTCGGGCTCAGCACTAGTTCAGATACGCATGGGCTCCTGTACATCTCGCCCAGGACCTTCACTTCTGGGAGTTGGGAATTGAGAATATTTGCTCTCGGAAAATAAATATCTTGTTCTGGTCAAGAGTTCGCCAGAACTTGGGGTCAGTCTGATGTCTTTCCTTTTTATGGAATCTATTTCACTTTATTTCAGGGCCCAAAGATCTTCCTGGCAAATTGATGATGCTCAGGAAGCCGCATCCTGAGAAGCATCTCATGCGAGCACTAAATGGAGAAGTGGCTAAATCAGCAATCACTCCAGGCCCAGGAGGACCGAGCCGCCCTCCCGGTTTTGAGCACAGCAGCCGTGGACCACGGGCAGCAGCCACCACTTCCAATTCACCCCACTCATCACCCGCTCCCCACCACCTCCTGTTCATAGCTTTCCTGTGTCCCCATCGCCCAGATTCTCCCCGTCCTCTGACGCCCCCACATCCCAGACACCAGGATGAGGACCTGCAGACTCAGCGGCACCCTGTCTGCCTGGCTTGGCCCCCCACGTGACACCCACACCTGGCAGGGTCGGGAGACATTTGCTCCTTGGGTCATCGTTAGTAGGACCTACAACCGTTTAGCGAGCACCGAAGAGCTGCCAGGTGCCGAGCTGGAGCTTGACATGCATTAACATTATCTCGAAACAGGGATCGTGACCACACCATTGCAAAAGGAACCCGAGGGGGCAGGAGCAACCCTTACAAAGTTGCCAGCAGGAGGAGAAAGAGCCAGCTCTGCCCATCAGGGCACCCTGGGGCCTCAACCACGTCAACAAGCTGGCGTGGCTTCAGCATGACTCAGCTCCCTGCAGCATGGATCTTACCCTCGGAATCGGGGCAAGAATGTTAGTTTGACAGGAAGATGATCTCCTCTGACACCATATTGACAAGGAGAACCTGTTTCCTACCCTTGACAGTGTGGACATTCTGGGGATCCCCCCTCCCCCACACTCCAGCTTTGATAACCAAAAAGCAAACACCTCCACACCCTACCAGTGTCACTTAAGGGCTGAGCACCACTGTTGGAGAGGTTAAGCAACTGGGCTTTTTAAGTTCCCAAGTCCTTGGTTCAAGTCCCAGCTTTGCCTCTGTGTCCTGGCCTCTGTTTCCCCATACATAAAATGAGGACAAGGATACTTAGGAAAAATTACTGAAGATTATCTGGGTGTGGCAGCTCATGCCTGTAATCCTAGTATTTGGGAGGCTGAGACAGGAGGGTGCAGAGTAGGAGGCCAGCAGCATGGGCGTTTAGGGCCAGGCTGCATGGCAGAAACCATGTCTCACCCCCAAAAGAGAAAAGTCTAAAAAGCGTGGCACAAACACACACAAAGCTCTAAGCTTGCATCGGGGCTACCCACAGATTGGCAAGGGTCTCTGCTCTTGGAGGCGAATTGATGGGAATTTTAAAATTATGGCTCTGCCAGTTTTTTCTCATAGAATCTAAAACTCTGGGGTTGCTTTTTTCCTTTCATGCACACGTCTGGATCCAGAACTTCAGAATGCACTTCAATGGTGAATGAGTCTTCCTGCTAGGTGGCTGTCCCTCATCACGAAGCAAAATACTCCGAGGGACAGCTGTGTCTGGAGCCTCCAGCAAACCCCATCAGCAGTAGTCTAAGGAGGATGATTATTTGCCTTCTGTTTAAATTATGTTTTCTGTGACTGCTTAGAATCCTTTTCCTTAACAGCTGGACAGAACGGTGCCTCATTAATACAGAAATGGACACATCCACGGCCTATCATAGGGACCACCGTCTGCAGAGAACAAACCAGAAAGAGCAGAGGAGAGGGCTGGGATGTGGCTGACTGTCCTCACTACCTGTGACCTCCAGGACCTCATTCACCATTCAGTCACTGCCACCGAAAGACAAAGACACACTTCTATTGAATGCCCCTACTTCGTCCTCTCAGAAGCCTTTGTTCCCTGTTCTGAATCCAACTTTTGGTTACAAAACACCTCCCTGATGAAGCAGTGTTTTTCCCCACCCCCACTGGGTGCTTCCGCTTAAGGTTCCGTTCCTCTCCCCGACTGCCAGTGCCACACCCTGGCAGACCCCAAGGCGGCCACAGGCAGCCACACCTCGCCACTGCCCCCTCCAGGGCGGACATCCAGCAAAGCCCTCTGGCCCAGCCCACTCTCAGACTGCCAGCCACGCCCTCCTGACCCTTCCGCCCCCACAGCTCCGGCTGCACCTAGGAAGTAGGAATGTAGGGCACCTGGCAGCCACCCAGCCGCCCTGCTCCTCAGCTCCTGCACATAGGCCCCGTTCACCAGGTGCTCCTGGCTGTTTGCAGACTGACCCAGAGTGCATCCTCCTGCAGTCTGCAGTGGGGCTGGGAGCAAGACGGCCACCCCACCCCTGGGCCCTGCGGTCACTCCGGGAACCCCACAGGTCCCTGGAGTTGCCACCTGCACTGAGACCTCGGTATGTGACACGCAATGAGGAGAAAGAGACGCAGCGTGGACAAGGCCATTCTGCCGAGGCCCGACCTGCCGACCATGTTTCATCTTCTCAGAAAGGCGCCCTTGGCGTCCCAAGAACCATAATCGCATTAGGCTTGGAGAGGCACCCTGTCACCAAGAGTACCGGCCTCATCCTGTCCAGTGCGCAGTAGAGTAGGACCCTCGGCAAATATTTGTTCGTTAAAATGGACCCAAAGCATGAGAGACAGAGGTGCTATATATAAGGTTTGTCTTGTGATAAGGGAGTGACCTGGGTAGATTGGTTTAGTCCTTCCTTCTTTTCTTCTTTTTCAGGCTGGGGATTGAATGCGGGGCCTGGCCTTTGTGCACGCTAGCCCAGTACTTTATCACTGAGCTTCACCCCAGCCTGGTCTTTGTTGAGATAGGATCTCACTAAATTGCCTGCCTGGCCTCAGACTTGCAACCTTCCTGCCTCTGCTTCCCAGTAGCTAGGATTCCAACCACCACACTCGGCTTCACTAAGTCTTTCAACAAGCATAGGGGTTTTTCTCTCTGGAACAAAAACCCAACTGAAGTGCCGAGAAAATTTGCCTGAAGTCCCACAGCTGCCTGGGGATGGTGTCAGAATCTGAACCCACAACTGCTGGTTCCAGAGGCCAAGTTTACTCAAAGAGCCCACAGGCAGGGTAAAGGAGGAGGAGTGACCCTCCAGCCCCCATTAAGCACCAGGACACAAGGGGGCTGGGCTGGGCTCAGGGAGGGCCCTGGGAGCTTCTGGGAGAGCCATGGTGGGCAGGGCAGTGGGTGACTCCTGAGTCGTCCGGTGACGACCAGAAGAAATGCTGGCCAGCCACGCTGTAATGACAGGCTGTGGATCCACAATGGCTTCGGGCAGCCCAGATGCCTGGACTCAGCAGATCCCAGCCATGCGGGCGTCTCCACTGAGTGGAGAGGATGTAGCCCCAAACCGAGGTCACTATTCCCAGGTCACTGCAGACGCCAGCCCTGCACCTACTTCCAGGGAGCCCCCCGAGCCCTCTGTCCCATCCCCAGCCCTGGGGGTAGCCGTTCCCTGTGTTCCCCCAAGGCCACACATCAGCACTTTCTTGCTACCTGCCAGCAGTGGGAGCCCTGTATGCAGCAGTGTGGTCCTAGGGCCCAGGATGGGGCCCCAGGCCGACCATTCCCATCTACCCCATCCTGGCTCCCACCCGTCTGCCGCTCAGCTGGCTGTGACCCTCTTTGCTCCACTTCCTCCAGCCACTCCGCTACCCAGTGCCAAGGAGCCTCATTCTTACTTTGCACTTTGCATTGTTTGGGCTTCTCCAACCGGGACCTGTTCCCGGGCCACTGTGCACAGAGCAGCAGCTGCCCACGAGGCCCCCTGAAGAGGTAGGGAGGAGGCCCTGCAGAGCCTGGGCCAGACTTGCATGCTCCTTCAGCCCAGCCCGTGGGGCAGCGTCTGGACCACGCATGCAGTCACTCCTTGCTCACACAGCGCGTCGTACCAGGCCCGACTGTTCAGTCCTGCACACAAGCCAATGCATTCCACACAAGCACTTTCAAGTATTCCTCCTTTACTACCAACCATATGGACATGCCAAGGGGGGAAACTGAGGCATAGAGAAATTAACAGCTGAAAGCCACACGGGCACTACACATTCAGAGACAATTCAAAGGCAGTGTTCTTAGTACACCCAAGAAATCCTTTTGTGCTTTGTAAGAAAGACCCAAGACCACAAAAATTCCCGACAGCGCGATGGCTACTTTACAGCTTTCCCTTTAACCATCACAAGGAAAAACAACCCCTCCAAGGCTCTGGCGGTGAGATGAGACAGAGGCCAAGGACCAACTGAGGAGCCAGCCTCATGCGGTGAGCAGATTCGGTTCACACTGTGAAAGGCACTGATCCAATTATAACAGGAAGTCTGCCCTGTCCCTCTAAACTGGAGCCCCGTTACCAAACCACACGTTCACCGTGCACTTTCAACTCATGCTTACAGTAAAAAATACATCCTGTGATGAACCTGTAACTGTCTCAGTTTCTTGTGTTATAATATTAGGAGGCTTAAGAGGGCCACGTTTGTAAATACTGAACACACTGTACGGTCTTTATTGCAGCCCTTTTCACTCATTTGCATGTAATTCACTGAAAATCCCTTGGGACGGTTGCCTGCTCCTTGCGGTTACCCCTGTCCCTCCAGCTCAGAGTGGAGGCCGGGGCGGGTGGGGCTGAGGACAGTGGGGGGGGTACGGCTGCAGATGGCACCGTTTACTCCAAGTCTCTTGTGTCTAACAGCAGAAATCCAGGCATTTGTCCTCATGCTCCTGGGAACTTGGACTTGCTTCAGAGATGGCTGAGGGATTTGGGAGAGGTGTGACATGGGAATTGGTTCAGCACCCAAAACCCGACTTTTCCAAAGCATGTCCTGCTCTCCACCCATTGACAAGATTACAGAAACTAGAGAAAAGATCATGATCAGCTAGTGTGGGACAGAAGATTCAGTCAGGCTTTAACAACTGGAAACAATGGCCACTGTGAGGGACGCTTTTCCAAGAATACCCAACAAAGAACAAGTTAAAGAACTGGCAAAACAGGAGAGGAAGGGAAAGAGTGACAAACAAGGCCCAGAGCAACCAGTGTTAACACAAAAACCTCCTGGGGAACCTGGTCAGAAAGAACTGAAATCCACAAGCTGTCCCCACAAAACTCACATGCTTGGGAAAAGTGCGACCTCACCAAGGAAAAAGAAATTCCCACCCTCCTCCCTTCCGTGCCAGCTACCTGTGGCCCCAGGGAGCGTGAATTAACTCCCTAACAAATGCACCCCTCTTACTGGCCTGAAGGTTCTCAGGTGCCAACCTAACCATCCTGCCCACATCTCAAAAGACTCCCGTCTGCTACCTTCTGCTCTACAGACAACGGTGGGGTCTGTTTGTCCCAGACAACAGAAGGACAGGTCCTCAGCTGCTGGCCTGCGTGGAAGGGAGATGCAGCTGGTCTGGGTTTAGTCACCTAAGATAAGTGGCTACAGACACGCCTGGTAGCCCCTGGAAGTCACGCAGGACTTGTCCCATCCCCCCCAACAGTACCAGGAGCTGGGGGGGCTGTCAGGCAGGGAGCAACAGAGATGGTCCTGTCACACAGCAAGTCAGTGGCCTAGCCAAAGGCCAGGCTGGCAGGTGTGACAGGTTAATAACACTTCTAATAAGAGTGCAGCAACAGGACTTGTCACAAAAGCAACCGCAGGGACATTAAGAAGATGAAAAAAGAACCTGAAAACTTCGGGAAGGTTTGTTATTATTTTATCTTGTGCAACCCAAAGCCAGCCAAATTCTTTAAGGTCAGCATCGTGGGGGCGGGAAAAAAATTCAGGAAAAGTAATCAAGGTGCTTGGAAGAGGAACAGGAGGCAGGCGGCATACTCACCTCCGCAGGTAAGGGACCCAAGGCGGCACCAGGTAGCGCGCCGCTGCGGCCGGGCTATATATAGAGAAGGTGTTGCGCAAAGCGGCTGTCCGCCGGCGCTGTCATCACGCCCCTCGCACATTCCAGGACCGCCTGCCGCCGCCGGGGCACTGCCTACCTGCCGGCGTGGGGCACGCATGGTGACCTGGCCCGCTCCGCCCC